AATAGAATGGTGAATTCATAGTGAGAGCACATCATTCGAATCAAAACATAAGCAGGAACCTCTCTAACTGTATGCTTTTCAAAGCTATTCCCGCACTGAGAACGAATAACGTAGATTAGGGCACCGCGGACCCTTGAATTCAGCCGTGCCATTTAGCTTACAGTTTGTAACTTATGCCAACAAAGGGAGAACACAAGGCGGCAAACGAAGAAAACTTCACGCAGGTTGGCAACGCGGTCTGAGACAGTGCAGTACCAGAAAAATGCAAATTTCTCTCATTTTAAGTAAGTAGCTTCAGTGGGTGAATTCCACGCCGGCTGCAATACCTTTTAGCGATGAAAATTCGTTTTTTTCGTCAAAATTAAATATAATTCGATGAAATTTCATATCTCTCCTTTTAATTCCATTGTCTTTTAAACTCTTAAAAAGTATTGCCCCCCCCCCAAACATTTTGGGAGTGCAATAATTTTATCGCCGGATGTGTGTTTGACCACCGGGTTACGTGAATGTTGGTCTGTTCTGCTCATGTGGTGGAATCGGTAGATCTATCTAGAGTTGGCTCACAGAAGCAGCGAAGTTGCTCATGCCGCATTGCGTTATGATCTTTTCGTTTCAAATTGATCTCAGAGAAGGCTTACTTCAATATGAATTACTAGACAAAATCGGCTGAACAGATACTGGCTGGTCGTTATCCGGTCTTACAAAGATTAATATTATGAACTATTTTCACTTCAGTATGTTCAACCGCGTGCGATATTCGATTCCCAGCACTTTTGTCACGGCTGGATCCTGGTCCACTATTTTTCCGTTTTTCATTATCCGTATGTACCTTTCAATTGGTTACTCTATTCTTTATTTTTTACGAATTCATATTGTGCATACTTGATTAGATGCCTCGTCAACCGATATCCCTGCTCAACCCGAACATCAGGACCATACGAAATAGATGTGCTAGAGAAAATGAAACTGTACCAGATGTTGAAAACAATCAAAAATAATATTTAGCGTGACTGCCTCTGCTATGTAGCACATCCGCAACTCTGATTGGTAAGTAGTCTGCCAGATTATGAATGGACTCTATTAAAACACTTTTCTTTATGATTTCCTGTTTAATGCTCATGTTGACATTGTTCTGCGCTGATAACGGTGTCATTCAACGAAAGATAGCTGGGACCAGAGCGTAGAAAAGACGATAGCGCTTATATATAGAGAAGCCAATCTCGAAAACCGCAGATAAGCATTGCTCGTATGTGAGGGCTTGCGTAATAGACCCAGAAGTGCGATAGAATGTGCTAAGCTCAACGTGAATGATTACAAAAAGCCAATGTTGGAGCATGGACCGAATGGTGAGGGAGTGAGACAGAGGCGATAGACTAATACAGCCTGATTAGGTGTAACTCCTCTCAACCGAGCACCGCAAGCAAGATCCGGGATTAGTGGCTTCCCTGTCGACCTTTGTCACCACGATGTTCAATCGGTAGTTTATCATTCAACCGCTGCTACACTCAGGTTGTTTGTCTCTACTTCTTACTCGTCTATCCTGCTCACAGCAGTCTATCCCAAAAGCCCGATTCGAATTTCATCATCGTCGTACAGCGAGATACAGAAAAAATGGAACTGGTCACTATCAAGCTATCAAGTGTACACAAAGTGAGAAAGTACAAGATGGATAGGGTTGGAACTCAACTGGAGAGAAGCAAAGAAAGTGAACCCCGGATTGAGCTGTAGTCACTTTCGATCAATAGTTGAGCTCAATCTTCTCCAAGGTAAAATCATCACACCTTTCATCCTGTTGCACAGTAATGTTACATGAGATTCTTCAAGTTTGTTTATCTTATGATCATTTTCATTTCTCACTGGACTACAATCACGCGTGAAACCATTAAATACTAATCTGGTGAAGCCACTTAGTGGACAGCGCTGTTCAGTCGAATGACAAGACAAAAGCTTGCCGTCCACGTGCGATTGTTCTTTCTGCCTCCGAAATCCTCAGTATGGTCGGGGGTGGTTGTCTAGGGTTGCGGCTGACCNCCTTCCCTTGCACCTCGAGAAATGCTTCCACACGACCAAGCGCCTGGAACAGCCTGTTTAGGAAAACCTACTCAATGCCTTCTCGTGGCGGAGGTGTTTTCCCACCAAAGTGAGAGGACGAAAATCCGACATCCGGTGCTATAACTGGGTTGGCGGACCAATGACAGTTCACCTAGGGGAGTTGGCCAAAAACCCTGATTCCAAACCGACCAAGAGGGGGCGTACGAACCACACACACACACACACACCTTCCCGGTTGTGGCAATGGTCACCGACTCAATTGGGCACCTTGGACGTTTGACCCCGTCCGAAGGGCGTATGATCCGATGAACTGGACACCGGATCCCAATGGACTGCAGTTTTCACATTGTCCCGCTGCCTGGTGAGTCAGGCTTTGGCTAGCCGAAGGTTCCGGTTGTAGATTCCCCAAGAAAATTCACCTACCTTGGCCTGGGCAAACCTAGCAGTATTCGACCTACATGCAAATCATGGAACGGTTCTTTTTAAAAAGCTATTGTACCATGATTTGTTTGACAGTCTGGCGTCAGACATGTGTGAAGTATAATGTATAATACAACAAAAACAGGGTTGAGGGGAAATGCCAGGATCCCTATGCGGAACGTTCGAAACCAGTAGCCTCATTTCACTGCATACCCATCGTCATAAAGCAATGTGGTTCAGTCGCGATGGTCTGTTCTTTGGGTTTTTGCTCTATCTTTCGAGCATAGCGTTACTGATGCAGTCGGGTGTGGGTGTCTGGGTAAACCGACTTCCTCTTTCCATGGTTCTTATCCCAATGTCCCCCCATGACGAGGCTGCTTTCATCGAGTCGACAGGGTGAAATGCGAACTCTCAGAAATGGACGGGCCATTGGCCCATCCGTAGGAGTTGACAATTTCCGATCCTACAACAGGTCGGAAGACCGTCCCGAAGATCATTAGAAACACAATCACCGGTTCATGGGTGTACCGGACAAATTGAACGCGACAGTCACGTCGAACAGTGTATGATCCAAATGAGCAACACCAATCCACCCTCCTCTCAATGAATCTGTCTAAAACGGCTTAGCTCGGACAAGCAATAACAAACTGAAGGTCCCCGCGGAAAACCCATCGAACTGCTGAGATATGCAAGTTCCGTTACTAGAAAGCGCCTATACCATCTCACTGTAACGCACTGGATTTTTTATTCCATATCTTGTATAATTTTGGGTGTCTCAGGTTGCCTGATTGATGACTATTGTGCTTCTGAAATCCGTCAAATGATAGTCTATTTCCAAGTATGCCAAACATTCGAAATAAATATGAGAACGTCGTTTGTCTATCAACGGCGTACGTTCGTCCCTCAAATCAATCTTCGACTATAGCTAAGGCGAACGAGTAGCACAACACTGAGTTGGCCCTGTAAAAGATAAACACAAACTTGACGCCATCACCCAAGTTTCATTCCTATCAAACTCTTAGTTGTTCACGCCGTGCCTGTTTATGATATCATCAAATGTGATACTGATATCTTCAATTTAGATGCCATTGATGTCCGTCCACCGCCCTCCATGGTTTATCTCAGTGTGACCGCATCACATGAAAGCATACTGACTGGAGCACGTCACGTTCACAGAGAAAACAAACGTAATGGAGTACGATTAGACTCCCACGGTCTCGTACCAAACAGAAAAGACTAACTCTGCTTGTCAATTATCAAACCCGCGGACAAAGCATGACGAATTGGTGTTGATTCATGTATTGGACAAGTGAGCAGTATGACCCAGGTGAGAGAAACTGTTGGAAAACGGGAATAGATTGAGAAACTTAGGCAAGAGGGCAATATGGTATTAGGTGGTACACTTATTAGATAAATAGTGACAAATCAGTGCGAGGAAATGGGAAATTAAGCACAGACTCTAAGTCCGATCATATCTGAATTGTCACATCCGCATTGATGTCGTGAAAGGAATAGTGATGATCGTGGTGGTGGTGGTGGTCCACAAAAAATAGGGGGTATAAACCGTTAACGATCGTATGGGGAAGATCTGATTGTGTCGATAAAATACAGTGCATAAAACAAAACAAAAAGAGAAAAACCGTAGGAGCAAAAATTCGAAGAGAAACGGTCGGAGAAATTTTTGTCTGGTTTGTCAATCAAGTACAACGATCGTCAGTCCGAAATTCAGTTTCCATTGAATAAAAAGGAGTAAAATGGGGTCGAGAAGCACACAGGGAAAGACGAATCGAGATGTGCATCGCGGGGGAAATGAGCCATGACTGCATGTGTTGCGGACGCATAGTTTAGCAGGCCTTGTGGGATAGAAGCGACTGTCACGTGTTTGGGAATAGCAGAAACTCAAGAGGTGATGTTTGAGTGTTAGCGACGAAAAAACCGAACGGAGTGAAACTAGGTTTCGGGCCGAGAAGAGGCGACTGGAGTATTGTATTCCATTGGGAAGCAGATCGTGTGAAGACGAGTGAAGTCATGAGCGGTTCCGACTGGTGGATTGTGTAATTGCTCATTTCAAAAGTTTGCTGGCCTGTTCATTTGCCTTCTTGATACGCTCCGCATTTGAACGGGCCTGAAGGACAATTTAGAAGAAAGTAGATTACTTAACTCAAAAATACTACTACTACGATGTGTAACCAACAGCTTATTTGAAGAAAAGCACGCATATCCCATGTGCCATACAAGCAGATAAACATTTGGAATTATTCACCACTGTTGTTAAGAATTAAAACGTATCTACATCCACCGAATAGAAATCATTCAAGTCTCTGTTCTTGTGACTAAAATTCTTCATAAGAAACGCAGTGTAAGGCACTTAGGTGAAGTTGTTTATTACATTGGTGAACTCATTCGCGGTTGCATAACTTTGGTCAGCTGAAATGAAGAAATCGAAATTTATGCCACAATCACTTTCCTTAGTTATCACCTTGACATGTTGGGCGAAGAACACAGGATAGCATAATAAACTGTGATTATCAAATTACCTTAATTTGAATCCTTTCGACTTGAGCATTTTGTTGGTTGATTTCGCTTCCCATATCGATTGCCATATTGCGCAGATTTCCGATCATACCGGATACCTCCTGTAGATTGTTATCCATCTCATCCTCGCGTGCATCGTTCGTTATACTGCATATAACGGCAAAATGAGACGATAACTTACGTCATTTAAATAGGGCAGTAACACTGGATAAAAGATTACCGGTGAGCGTATGGAAAATCTTAAGCAGAAGGGGAGATTTATTTGTCATGCAAATCCGACAAGGCGCTCCACACCGAAAAATCTGTACAGCCATTTCATCGATGTTAGAAATCATTGTTAGTGCATAACTACTGCATGCGAATGAATAGCCCGATACGCAAACCATCTGGCCTATTCAGGCTGTTTGTGAGCCGCTTAATACACGTATATAACATGATATACCATTCATTCTTAGTTATTCTGTCATGAACACATAATCAACATCGAACAGAGAAATAAAGTGAAGTAAACTTCACCCATCGCTGCCAAGCTGACGACGTACATAGAACAGATAAGAATATGTGAAGTGGACGGAGATTGGGTCCATTTTCAGGCATGGGGGCGGCAAAGAAAGTGAACCCTATGTGGGCAAGACAGTGCACAACCTAACGAGGCACGCACGCTTTGC